TACACACATTAGCTAATGACGAATTAGATGCCTACTTATTTAACATCATACTGGAAGACAAGAAGCCGTAATTCCGTTTAGCCAAATAAAGCCCATGGAATTAGTTTATTTCAAATGTCGTGCTTTATGACACTTGTCATTAGCCCTCTAGCTGACTTCGGGCTTCACAGAGGAGAGTAACATCAAAGTGAGAAAAAGTGGAGAGGGGGAACAGAAGAGTGATATAAAGATTTTAAAGAGACAGACAGACACAAAGACAGAGAATAGGTAAGATTAGTATGGGGAAGTGGTCGAATATGACATACAGTGAGGTGATGGTAGTTTGAAGTCAGAAGTCAACTGCCGATTAATAGACTTTTTTGTCGTATGAGAATACGTTGCCCAGGGTGCACCACATGGAGGTAAGTCTATCGCATATGGAATTGATAAAAATAGGCTATCGAAACCCAAGGGTGCAGAAATTATGATACTCCGAGTATCCTTGACTACTTTCTGGCAGTTAACCTCAAATTGAAGACAAATTCAACTGTACGATGGATTTTATGCAAAACTTTCCCAATCATTTTTGAGTTCCATAAATTTACAGTGAAATTCAATAAAATATTGTCACAAATTACAGTGAGATACACCTTTCTCATTTCTTAAGCAAATCTAGAAACTTGGTTTTACTTACTACAACTTTTAGAATTTAAATGAAAGTTTTACTTCTAAGAGGAATAATATGTAATTTTCATTAAAGAAAGGTTATTTTCTTGGAAAAATAAATAGCGGTTTTAAGGCAATGATAGAATTCAGCAAATGAAATAAACATAAACTTTCTATTATTCTGAGCATTAACGTATTTAGCGTAATTCTAGGTGGCGGCAAAACAAATGCGATCATTTTTTCATCAATTTTCCATACCCCATCTAGTTGCGCGAAGGTAATTCTGAGGAAAGAAATGGTTCATTTGTATGCAAATGGGCATTCGGCATGGACGTTGGAGTGAAGTGTAGCAGAGTGTAACAAACGCTTGCACACAGATGCAAGTAAAAGGTAGTTCATTGTAGCTAGTGTCCCAGCACACGTACGCGGGCTTCCCACTCTACCATTGGCCAAGTTGTTTGGCTGTCTATTGGTTGCCGATGGTGCAGTGGCCCAGGGTGACCGAATCCCCACAACGGGAAAGCGAGTGTTTATACACTGGTGGTCTCTTTCCTCCTGCGTGTGGAAGACACGTATTTCCTAGCGACGCTTCGCCAATAATGAGCTTTTCATATTCTTATTGTTGATAAATCGCTTTATTCTTTCAATGACTACAGTTTCGCCCTCAGGGTGCCCTAACCGTGTTTCGTGGGGAAAACGGGCCAAAAGAACCGTTACAGCCCCTTCTGTTAGCGGACGTCTACACAGTGCCGACGGAAGAGCCCCGGTACAAGAACCCCAACTCCTATCTAATCGATACGCATCTCAGGATAATGGTGTGTGGCCGTTTTCTAGTTCTGGATATCTTTCACCCCGACTCACAACCATTTCCTCAACCTGTCTTCGTGATGTTAAGGAGGTATTCACAGTTCAGCAAATTATGCGAGATACTCTTGAGACACGACTTAAACCACAGTCAGCTGATAAAAAGGTGATTCAACAAAGGAACCATCACAAGAAGGAATTTCTACGGTCATGGTCGAGAGAAAGAATTATTGTTACGGAGGAGATTATTTACCCAACAACTAACTTGAGTGTAACCAGTGCTTCTGGATCTTATTCTTCCATTGCTGGACCACAAAGTAAACCGTATTACCCATTAGAGAGATATAATACTACCTCGGGTGGAAATTCCCTTCCAGTTCCTTCGATCACAATGATTGGAGCTCTACCACAACATGTTGTTGAACATGGAAAAAGCGTACCGTTATCCAGCACAAATATTTCCAAAACAACTCACTCCAGAGATAGGCGAGCAAATTTACGCCGGCAGGCATCAGAATCTGAGGGTTCGACTCTTCTCTTCAGTGATTTGTCATCTGTTGGAAGTAGTATTGGAGCCAGAGTTATTCCGATTAAGAAAGGATCCAAAATCTTATCAGTTCAAAGCTTATCTTCCCCTCAAACAATGGAAAATCGACCGAGTACCGTAATCCAAACGACCAGCAAGACTCATTTCCTTAACGCAATGACATATATGCTCATGGAACACGCGGATGAAGATCAGTTTGTGTAAGAATTGTGTAAATGTAGAGGCACTTTTTGGCTTCTTTTAGTGCAAAAATGGGCTTATTAAGTGATTGTCGTAGAGGTGTCTAGCCTCTGAGAAATTATTTCGTTTGAGATTGACAAAATTCAAAATATTATAAAAGGATAATTAGCATGCATATTCTAATAGTAAAATCAAATTATTTTAAATGTGACAGAGTGTGGGAACAGTTAGCTTTAAAAATTGTATATTCCCTCCAGAAATATCGTGGAACCTAAAGCTTTTAAGTTTTTCTTGTCAGTATTTGGTAGCCCCTATTAAAATTCGTTGTACTATGTCTACCATGATCTATTTTCATCTTTGTACTTTAACCAAATGCACTCAATTTTATTTCGATAACAATGAGCCTTCTATTTTTGTTAAAAATTTCACTATTTTTCAAACCCTCTTGGTAATGTTATTTGACTAAATTTCGATTTCAAAAACCAGTAGTGAAATTCTGAACTTACGTATACAATATTTCTTCCAATGTTTTACCTGATTAATCATTCTATAGAATTTTTAATCAACTAGATTATCACAAAATTTTTAGCATGCGATATTCAAAATTCTTCGACAACAATTGGGAAGAAATGTAGACCTCCATTGTGGAATTTAACTAAAATTATGAGCAAATAGTTCAATAAGGGATATGGATTTAACATGGGAAGATAGACTAAATTTGGTTATCTGATTAGGTCCGTTGAATTTTCACATAATCGTCAGTTTATGGATGTATTCTCCTAAATTCAACTTTTCCCATCCTTCATCTAGTTTACTGATAAAATTTACTCATTGTGGTCATCAGTCTTGTCATTTTAAGCCATTTTGTCTTCAATGGCCGTTAAAACAATATGAACTCTCTGAAAGTGAGCATCTTGAGTTTTTTGTAAAATGATGGATAACGGAGAACAGTGTTCGTTCAAGTTTATCCAATGTCTTGAATGTATTATTGACATAACCGAAAATAATTGCAATTCCTCTATATTTATTGCGTATTTTTGGTTTAGTGGAACTTAGTTCTTATTAGTGGCAACTTTGATAAAGTGTTATTACATGCATTTTTTTCTATTTATTCGATATGTAGCTCTTACAATTCAACTGGAATCATTAATTGAACTATTAGGTTGACAACAAAGTCATTACCAATTTCAAATAAGAAGGCAAATTCGGAATTTTTGTTTAAAAATATAACTTTATTCAATTAGATATTGGCCGTTCTTGTCGATGACCTTTTTCCATCCTTCTGGCAGAGTAAAAATTCCCCGTTCGTAAAATGTCTGGTCTTTGCTATTAAAAAACTGAATTAGGTGTGATCTGACATCATCCGCGTTGTTAAAAACTTTACCATTTAAAGAGTTTTGCATGGAACGAAACAAATGGTAATCCGAAGGCGCAAGGTGAGGGCTATATGGTGGGTGTGACAAAACAAAACAAAACATCCCAACCCAGTTCCAATAATTTTTGCCGAGTAACCAAAGATGTGTGGGGCCTTGCGTTATCATGATGGAAAACAACATCCTTCCGATTTGATAATGCCGGCCGCCTATCTTCAATTACATCCTTCAGTTTTTCGAGTTCTTCAACATACACATTTGAATTTATCGTTTGGTTCTGCGGCATGAGTTCAAAATACAAAATTCCTTTGTGATCCCCCCACCAGACTGACAGCATAATCTTTTTTGGTGAATCTCTGCTGGTTTTGATACTGTTTGGGCTGGTTGATCTTGCTTCACCCATGATCTCTTGCGAGTAACATTGTTATAAACTATCCACTTTTCGTCGCCAGTAACTAGGTTCTTCAGAAATGGATCATTCTCATTGCGTTTCAGTAGCGGCGAATCACAGATGCTAATCCGTTGCGTCAAATGAATTTCCTCTAACTGGTGAGGGATCCATAAATCAAGTTTCTTGACATAACCAAGGGTTTTTAATTATTTTTCAATGCATGTATGCGACACATTGAGCAGCTTCTCTGCAATATCTCGTGTTGTGCTGTGACGATTTGAATCGATAATGGCCTTGATATGGGTTTCATCCACTTCGACTGGGCGGCCAGATAGTTGTGAATTTTTCAGTGAAAAATCACCGGAACGAAATCTTTCAAACCAATTTCGACACTGCCTTTCTTTTAAGGCTTCATCTCCATATACGGCACATAACTTCTTATGTGTTTGCGATGCGTTCTTGCCTTTTCGGAAGTAATACAACAAAATGTGTCGAAAGTGCACATCCTGTTCTTTCATTTTTAAATTGGGATAAAACAAAACTAAAGAACTAAACAAAAAAATTTTTACTAATTAACCTAGAAGCCCATACAGTAAGAAAAAAATATAGGTTAGATGCTCTGGCCATGTTAACAAAACAAAAGAAAGTATAGAGTGAATCTGTCAACACAAACGGCAATGACTTAGTTGCCCACACAATATATACAGAAGAGAAATTGAAAAGAAAATTCGATTATCCATTTTTCGAAAAGTTATTTGTTAATTTTTTGAAATGCCATTGTGAATGTGGGCTTTATTTTCACCTTTGGCTTTTATTATTAGATGATTATAATTGGCTAACTTATTCTTTAATTTCTATTAATTACACTTGTTTAATTAGATATCATTTAGCTCCAACAAAATAAATGCACATGCTCTTTTCGATATTCCATTTCGTTTGTGTAAGTTCCATTCCTATGGGAATGAATCACCACAAAATGAATTGAAATGAATCACCCCGCGTTTTGATACGTTTAATCAGCGTAATAGCATGGCTAATTTCTATTGGGTCATAAGTATATTTATTTATTTATATCAAATGGCAGGCGTTTTGATAGTTATCATTAGCCCTTTGGTTGGCTTCAGGCTTTACAGAGGGGAAGGAACATCGAAGTGAAAAAAGGCGAGAGGAGTGGGGGAAGGGAAGAGAAGAGTGTTTCAAATATGTAAAAGATACAGAGGCAAAGGTAGAGAAAAGGTAGGATCATTACTGTGGAAGTGGTAGAATATGACATAGAGTGGGGTGATGGTAGTTTGAGGTGAGAAGTCAACTGCCAGTTAATAGACTTTTTTGCAGTATGAGCATACGTTGCCCAGGGTGCACCACGTGGAGGTAATTCTATTACGTACCCCTATATGTACCTCCTATTGGGTCATAAGTACCGTCCTCATTTGAATGCTTTGATAATCTTGGTGACTACTGCTGGCAATCACTGTTTCTCCAGAATTTGACAATATCTGCTTTTCACAGGGTTGAATAATAGTCAATTAGAGGAGTTTCTTTAACAGTTGTTCTATATTTTACCAATTGAAATCACAATAAATTTTGCTTTAATATTGTTAAAACACCCAGTAAGAGAGGTTTACGTAAAGTATCTCGCAAAACAAATGTATTTGAAGCAATTCTCCTCCCTAGTATTTAATCAATGAGTTCAAAATTTATACAAGTAACGTGTTATTCATTTTCACTTGATTTATCATTTATGGAGAGAAAATAAAAACCTTTTATTTCTTTCTCGCGAAACCCATTGAAAACCTCTTAAAATACACACCTGACTATGAATATTTATTGTAATTGGATTTTACCTCAAGCACGCCAGTTTCATTTTGACTAATATTCTAAATGCTGTGAGGAAGTGGTCAATTATTTACTTTGGAGATAAACATATTCAGAGCATATATTTATATGGCCAATTATTTGAGAGCATACAATGTACCAACGCTTATTTTGTTCATGTTTAGTTAAAAATTAGTTATATGTCATACCTAGCATTTCACACATTTCGGATATGCGAATTGGATGTATAAATTTGGCTTGAAAAAAATGATCTCAATGATATTTTGTACTTAATTTATCCATCATTTGTACAGTTATTTCCACTTTACGTCGTTCAGCCGATAAAAATTTGGAGTAATTATAAAGGAAGTACTTAGCCACCAACTTGCAAATGAGAAGAGTTGTTGCATGGCCAATTTATTCTTCACTCCTTCGTTGCATTCGCTGTGAAAATATGGTTTAGTAAAGAGGACTCATACACTTTCGATTGATGATCAGTAATACCATATCTCAGTTCTACTTTGAGTCAATCACTGCCTAAGTTTCTTTAATTTCCTAATACGAAGAGAAGGAAAGTTGAATGATGGGCATTAATTGACTTCAGTCAAAACAACTCAAGTTCTTGATCTTAAAACGTTTGAGCATGCAGTGCTGTCACGGCAGTCAATAGTGAGTGAGCATTCGAAAGTAAAGTCCACATTGGTTTGTGACAGGCACTTAGCCCACACTTGCATAGGCCCAATGCCACTTCCAATTGGCTAATATCGTGGTTCGGTTAATTTATGCATGAACAATCTCAGTAACCTCTTGCTGAAGGCCATGTGATTTGCTATTCATTATCTCTTCATGTATTCATCACTTGATTTTTCCACGATAACTTGGATTAACATTGCGAAACATCATGACTAAAGGGAATATAAGACATCTACTTGGAATTTCCAAGTGAGTTTCGTTTGTTTATTTGTTTAAACTTGTCTAACTATGGCCGGTTTTAGTCAATTCATCTGATTAGATAAAATTTAATTCTCGATGCACGAAATATACATTTGGATGATTATTTTATGATATTTTAATGACAAATAATGTTAAATTTCTGAAAATAATTTAATCTTCAAATGGGACTAAATTATTTGAGTTTACTTAACATCAGGAAAATATTTCAAAGAAGATCAAGGTGAATGCTAGTGAGACTGACTTATTAACTTATATTATTCAAGTAATTTGAAACGAGCTTAAACTATTTCGTAAAGAAAAGGAAAATCTGGGTCGCTTAACAGCAAATTATCATTGGAAGAATTCCAAAATAATTACTAATATTTTGCTGGATTATTATTATGGAAAGAATTATGTTAATTGAATGGGCAATAATTTTTCTTTCCTTCGTAGATATTTTTTAACTAGACACATTGTTTCAGTTGGGGCTTGCGTTAGCATAAACTTATCGGACATTGATAAATTTCGAAATTGACTTAACATCTAAACTTTAACTATTTTGAGACAAAGTCCCTAAATTTTTCATCTTCTTAGATATTGGGCCTATTGATGCATCTTTTCTTGAATTGAAGTAAGAATTTACTACTCATGAGCAGCTGCTTTCTATTTCACCTGGTTGCCGTAGATTGGGATGAAGAACAGGTTTTTAGCGGGGAGTATGAAATAGAGGAGGGAAGAAGAGTCGAACGCTCTTTAATAAATAAATTTTAATTGTGAAATATTAACGTGGGACAAGGTTTTTTTATGCCTCTTTTATTATCTCGAACGTGGAGGTAATTTAGTTATCTAAGAAGAGGATAAATTTTTATTTGTATATGAATGGAGTGCGTAGGAGAAATTCAGGTAAAATCACTGTTCATTAATGAAATTTCCTATTCCAGAGAATTATAATATCACACAACTGATCTCAATCTTTTCATACTATGATGTTTATATATATACACATATATATATTCTGGTACAAATAGATCAGCTTAAAAGGATACGTTTCAAATAGTTGTGCAATAGGAAAAAATACCACTAAAAATACAAAGATTAGTATAAATTTTCGAAGTATGAAAGTTTGCCCAAGCATTGGAATTGACTGAAAGTCTTGGTTCAAATCGGTTTATGTAGTTTGAGGCCATTAGTATAAAAGTTAAACTCTTTCAAAATTGTCTTGCAAACAAGGTGGAATTACTTGATTGCTTTCCGTTCTGGAAGGTACAATCCAAGAAGATTTTGAGGGAGACAATTGTTCAGAAGAGCAGCCTTAGACCGGGAATTCAAATAGTTTCACATATTTGATTTTTAAACTCCGTCTTTAGGGAGATAGTCAACAGCATCATGACCGAATTCTTCAAACTTCCGCCTTTAGAACCTGCCTCTTAGCGTCCCGCAAAGTTAGCTCCTGTCAAAAATGTTAGAGATGTTTGGCAATTGAGTCACCCTGTCTCAATATGCATTTCTCGTTACAGAGAAGTTCATTCTATGTAACCATTTAACGTCCAAATTACTTTTTTATAAAAAAACTCTTCCAACCGCACTCACGCATATCTCATTGCAGATTCATACCACCCATTTGCTGAGTTTTGGGTTTATTTGACAAATGTTATAGACGTATTGAATATGCTCCAAACCGTATGCTTCTGTTACGAATCTAGTACCAATGAAACTTATTTAGAGAGAGAACCACGCGGCCCTATTGGCGTCAACATATTAAGAATTTTAGTTCAAACGGAGAAATCTCCATTCGATACCCCATAGATTTGGGAATCGTTTATTAATTCTATATCACAATTAAAATTAATTACAACGCGAATAATAATGGGTGTTATCCTCAAAACTGATACTACTCAAATGTCATGGATTTCCGAGTTCTGTGGAGATATTTTTAACAATTTTCTGAAGAAAAATCAACAAAGGATATATTTAGAATGGCGTAAGATCTGAGTCATGCTAAGTCTGTGTGAGTGCTTGTAGAGTTAATTTGCGTTCTTTTTCAGTCAAGCTGAATAAATTATGCATGCAGATCGAGCTGTGTTGACTGTGCAATCTCCTTTTTTTGCATTTAGAAGAGGAATTCCGATCCATTTAGGTCGGAAAGGGAATTTCCGATCGCCTTAAAAAAGAGTCCGGTGTGACTTCAATTGTTTTTACGCTCACCTTGCAGTTGACTCATTCTCCTTCAATAGATTTAATTGTCACAACCGATAATAGCACAATTTTAACAGTCAGCTACATCAGAAAGCAAGAAGACACTAAAATAATCCTATAATGAGAACGGGGGAAAGGCATAACTTAAAATAATTAAGTTAGTTTTGTTCACTTCCATTTTTTGAATTCATCGATATGCTCTTTTTATGATAAGAAAAATTCATTGAATTTTGACGTCACCTGTATGGCTATGTTTGCGAATTCGACCATGGGGTTTAAAGATTCTATATTATTTGGCGTCATTTTTTGAAGCTGATTATTTGACTTACTTTGCACGCCGTCTAACCGAGTCATCTTTTTGTTCAAATGCATCAAGAATTACTATTTGAAATTTTTTAATATTTTAATAAATGCGGGCGGAATATTTAAGCACCAGTTCAGGGAATGATTTTGCTGATGAAGACGAGCAAATATAAGTACCCGCTAAATGTGTGGCATTTAATTAATTCCTCCATCCAATCGAATGAATCAGCATATATAGCTAGAAATACTGTCTATTGCATTTAGTCATTGATGATACGGTAGATGACACCGTAGCAATGAATTTTTTAAGAGTTCAGTGGTTCAACATGAACTGATACGGTTTCCACCTGTAGGCAAAATATTCTACCCCTTCGACCAGTCGAACCAATGAAATCTCACGAGTCAATTAGTGAGGACAACCTTCGATGTCATCCCGTTATTCAAAGAGTCCCAATTATTGAGCACTCTCTTACCTCCTCTTTCCCAAAAATTTCAAGCAACCCAACCATACAAGCCTCTATTCAGAGATCAGAAACACTAACCCCCAAAAACAGACAACAATCCCCTCGCCAAATGGTAACAGCTTCTGACGTTCCTCCAAGCAGTCCACCTCCGGACTATCAATCTATCGTTTCTGATGAACGGGATTCAACTTTTCATGATGATGAGGATATTCATAGTACATCTACGTCTGTCTATGAAACAGCCAGATCTTCTATCTCACCTTCACCAACCAGAGACTTAATCGTCACACCTATCGCCCAGACACAAACTCTCCAATCTGCGCCACCTCAACACTTTTTACATTACCCTTATCATGGATCTGATATAACAACAAATATTGACAAACTAGATGCAGCAACAGAAACCGTGATCCCTACTTCACCAGTATACTTCAGGACAATTGTGAGAAGGGATCATGCTGGATATGGTCTGACAGTTTGCGGAACTAATCCAGTTACTGTACGAAATATCCGCGAAGGTAAATTATTATCCAAAAATTTAAATGAAGTATCCTTTCATTTTATATAAATGCAATTTAGGTTCAAAGTTCGCTTTTTATTGTTTTTGCTAAATAATCATCTTTGAAGTTGCTAAAAAGCAAAATCGCAATTTGTGCTCTAATTAAATATTTAGACCGTCACCATTACATAGACCAGTGAGTAAATTGATTAAAACAAAGGATATACATAATATGTCTATCGCATTATATAAAATCCTGGTGAAAATGTTTGGAAACGACAGTTGTTGAATAATTCGAATAGTATCTTCCACAGGTAAGACCTGAGTAGGTCTGATTGAGGCACCAAAATGTATTTATACGATTATCAAATTTTTTCACAAATAATGTCGTTCCTTCAAGAATGCTGTAAAAATTTCAATATTTAATCTCAAGTACCTAACTTTTCTATAAGTAAATAAAAATAGCTTCTCCTTTTGGGAATATAATTGAGTGTACAAAGACACATTTGCGTAATTTATTTTTCTATTAAATTTGTGTTTATGATATATAAATGAAATGATTGAATTACGAAAAAAATTCATTCGTTTGTTTTTTATTTCGTTTCACAATTTCATTTCAATTGTAATTAAATCAAAATTACTTAGTTCTTTCTCATATTATTAAAATTCTCTTTTTTGACAATTTTCAAATTCATTTTTCGATTTAACTTTTTATTCACTCCTCAGTGACACCTACAATATTTTGCGGATTGTATGTCACTGCGTCAGGAAAAAAGGAACCTCTAGACGGAATGATTCCCAATGAGACTTAGACATATTTTAGGATATTGGCGACAGTCGTAAAATGAATGGCATAAATGCCATAGTTTTATCTAGGAAAAAAATTGGTGATCCAATTTAATTAGCATATGTGGGTATCCCCACTTTTGGTAAGTGAACAAACTCTAAAAAATGCAGGCATGCTTAGCTTACAATATTTCATAGTATTACTTAAAGACGCTGAACAAGTTTAAACGGACCATACAAAAATTTTGTTTTTAGCTTATTGCATTTATATTCAATTTGGTGTCATTTTCGAACCATTAAATTTTAATTTTTATGTAGAATTCAGCTCTGGTTATTCAAAATCTAAACCAGAAAAAAGGTGTGGTGAGAACTTTGGAAGTGGTCGACTATGACATACAGTTTTGGTGATGGTAGTTTGAAGTCAGAAGGCAAATACCGACTGATAGACAGTTTTGTGTATGAGTATACATTGTCCAGGGTGCACCACGTGGAGGTAAGTCTATCGCACACCCCGCTGGGAAATAAAATGAATGGCTCATTTAATCTTGAGGCTTGTTTCATTTCCTACTACAACAGGCAAGTAAATTCACTTCAGTTGGACATTGCAGAAGTTAATTAAGATGGATCCTGATTTATAATGGAAACCCATAAATGCTTTGAGCACAATTTACTACGATGAAACAATGAAGTTACAAATAGATTTCTTCAGGTTTAATCAATATCGACCATTATAATATATATATATATATTCAATATATAATAATATATAAAATTGGTCATGACAGTAGAATTTAATAAACTTTTCGGATCATCGATTTGAATGCTTTGTCTCCAAATTGAGCAAGTAAATAGAGATTTATTCAGATGTTGGGTTTGGGAATAATTTTGCTCGGTTTGAGCTTGAAAATAAAGATAGATATGTAGCGGTTGTTTGGAGCTTCCATAATTCGTTTCTCTTTCCGCAAGTTATTTATCGATTAATTAAGTTGTTCAACACCCTATTACTAAACTTTTCTCCTAATCAACCACACTTTCTATTTATATTCGATGTCTTTACCCTTAATATAGCTGCCGACATAGCCGTTGAATTTAGCGTTTTAGAATAACTCCAATGAGTTTTTCCCTTAGTGAAATAAAAAGTCTATAAGAGATGGAAAGGTCCCATAGATTCTTGTGCCGAATTTGCTATGCATAAAACCCCCACCCTTTGGTTTGTATTTTATTCTTTTCTCTATTTCTGGTAACTGGTGCGCATAGCTCCTGCATGCCATTTTCTTTGTGCCGTGTTGGTGTCCCAAATAGTTGCACTTTAGGTACGCACGTGGATCTTAGATGGTGCTTCTATCCGTCTTTTGCAGGCAGAAGTATCCATTTGATTGAGTGACACAAAGGTGTACCAACAGAGATTTACTTTCTTTTGTCTTATGCCTTCATTGACCTAGTAGTTTTACTAACTTAGAAATAATAAATTCCAATCGATTTTTATTGGCCAAAGCTATATGACATTATTGATTGAATTTTTGTTTGGTCATTTCCTGGCATATGAGAGAGTTGGTCAATTTTTAGTTTGTTTAGAGGAAACTTTTTAAATAACCTCAGTTAAGTTTGGCCTTTATGTAAATATTGCACAAAATATTACAAATTTACTTTTGCGGGAGAGTAGAAATTAAGTGTCCAGGTGAAAAATATCTCATTCAATTGTTTTTTTCTTTTCAAGTGTTACATAAAGTCAACAGTCAAGTACACATTTCAAAATGATTGTTCCAAATAATAGAGTGTTATTTTAAGGAATAAAGGGAGATTTCTTTAGATATGATATAAATCAGAAATGCGGTTAAAAGAAAAAAAATAGATCCTCAAATTGACTTCAATTTTTCGCATCCTTTAATAGCAAATAAAATTCGCATTTGGAGATTATTTCAGTCATAAATGACATTATTTGTTGAAAAAGAGTTTATGCTTATTCCTGACTGTTGTCAATCTCATACTCGCGAAAATAAAAATGCGCCTTTTTTTGAAAAGGCATTCAATTTACATCACCAACGTCGATTTTCCACGTTACGACAAAATACAATTTTATCATTCTTACTTATAGATGACTTATTCGAACAAAATTGTATTGAGTTTAAAGATTTCTCCGAATTACCTTATATTGAAATTTTAAAACGTTTGAGCTCTAATTCCACTAAACGCTTAAACGCCCTGTGTGACTGCAAACAATTAAATCGACTCCATTAGGCTAAAAGGAAAGGAATTTTTCCATCAAACGTATATCATTAAAATGGGAACAATTATTCCCAGGATAGGTGTTTTATTTTGTAATTAAGTAACGCTAAACAGAAGAGCCTTGAATATATTGTTGTACCGTCCGGTTATAAAAAATGGAGCATTTTCAGATACTATCGATAAACAATTATAATTTCCCTTAAAGTAGAATTTAGCTATTTACTTTCAAGATAGCTGATGAACCAGGTTAAACCAGATTCGATAATACTGAGTAACTTTTCAATAATAATAGAACAACTGATGAAATGCTGTTTTCCCCAAGTCAAACAAATATATTACCCATTTTTATCTGAACTTAAAATAATTTATTTCAGTTAAATCAATTCCAATTTCTTTCATAAACCGGTTTCCTATTGACTAAATTGTCCTTCAAGATTGGTTAAAGGCATGTGATAATGATCATTTGAAAACATATGCATCAATCCAGGTGAAATTAATTCCAATCAATTTGTGTCAAGCATAAATTTTTGTCTGTTTTTTAGAGAATATTTCCAATTTTGTAATTTAGAAATTAAGAAATACATTTCCGAGTCATATTGATAGGACGAAAAAGCATTTACAATCTCACTTTAGCAAAATTGTATAAGCAAACTTTGGTTCCAATTTCTGCCAACTTATATAATCACTAACTTTCTCTCTAAAATAACATAAAAAGATTTAGTGTCTTATAAAGAAAATAAATGGGATAGAAGGATCGATTCAGGCAAAATTTGATTAGAGTAAAGTCGAGTGAATTGGTGGGTCTAAAATATGCGTTATTTGCATAAAAGTTTCTAAGCCATCAACAGTCAATTCATTTCATATACAGCCTAATATTAAATATTCATTGCTTATTTTTAAAATTTGGGTATTTTGCGGAATTGTCACTTTTCTGGGAAAAAATACCCGATAGTGGATGAGTAAGATCTTATTCAGTTTCACTTCAAATTTTTTCGAACCTTTGTTTTCGGATACTATTTTCTGCTCGTTCATTTCGAATGGAGCTGAATTTTCTTTTTCATCTCTCATAGTATTGTATCCATTTCGGGGTATTAATATGGCGAAATTATCATTTAATCGCGAAATTAATGAAATACTGAAAAGATCATCACATTTTCCTTATACCAAAAAAAGAGTTATTAGTTACATATATCCATTGTTAAAATAAGCATTAAATATTATTTTGCACTAAATTTATTTATTTCAAATAGCAGGTGTTTTGATAGCTAACATTGACCCTCTAGCTGACTTCGGGCTTCACAGAGAGGAGGAGGAACACCAAAGTGCCAAAATATCGAGAGGGGGGCAGAATAATGATTCACAGACGTAAAAGAGACAGACAGACACAAAGGTAGAAAAAAGGTGATGTGATTTCTGTGGAATTTGTCGAATATGAAATGCGGTGGGGTCTGGGTAGTTTGAAGTCAGAAGTCAACTGCCTATTAATCGATTTTTTGTCGTATGAATATGCGTTGCCCAGGGTGCACCAAGTGGAGGTAAGTTTATCGCACACCACTTTTGCACTAAATTAAATTCCAGAAAATGGGTTGATTATCAGATTTACAAAAGTGCATTCAAATTTTATCTTTGTATATCTAACGTTTTACAATAAATAACCGTTTTATGATGTGGTCTGTCAGAACGTCGGTTTCTAAATTAAATTATGGTATTCATCTTTTATTAAGTAAACAAGCAAAGATAGCACACAGCTCACCTTTGATTGAACCGTGATGAGTTCTTA